TTATTTAGATAATAATAACGGAATAATCAATAATAACAACAATTCCGAATTGCTGGGATAATTAGGTTCAAAAGGTAATAAAATATGAATCAACTTCTTTATTCGATCTTTACCTAGCAATCTATGCTTGACGTCATATGCATAAAATAATGGGTAACTAGGTTAATTTCCATGATCAAAAAAGCCACTAGCACGTTTCTAAACTTAGTCCGCCAATAATAGTGCCGTTAGAAGGTTTATTGTTAGACAATAATTTCCCAGACAAAGTATGATTGTAGACTACCATCAGCAACGACTTATTTTGATATGAACCGATATTGTTCTTGTCAAATAGCGTTGGATATCCAGTCCATTTTATTTTCACATTTATTTTAAAATAGATTATTAATTTTTAGGCATTGAAATTAATTTTACTGTATATCAATTGGTGGAATTTGTTCGATACTTTTGGATCCGTAGGACATTAATCCGATAAGAAAATATCGCACAAGAACTTAGCGATTGATAAGTACCTAAAAGGGGAAGAGAGAGAAAAAAACGGAAATTGACACCGCCAAAAAATGGCAGCAAAATCATTTTCCGTCTTGGTAATCATTTTTGCCATAGCTATCACCAGCTATGGTCAAAGTTCATCAGATATGAGTAAGTAGAACAAAATTCTAACAAAAATAATTCTTCACCTTTGATAAATGAAAGGCTATTGCTTTTAACTTTGCCTAACTCAGTATGGAGTCGATTACACTTAGAGTTTTTATTGTCATTTAATAATTTCTACTGCTACAACCGCCAGCTTTCATCAATTATCAGCGACTAGTAATAATTAAGCAATCCTGTAATTGTACATAAAGTTAGTATATATTAGTTTTTACCCCAATAAGTTAAATACAAGTAATTCTAATAGTTTTTTTTTAAGCGTTCATCACTTCTGAAACTTTATAATGGAGATTAATAGAAGACAAGTATAGCAATGTATATTTCTTACATCAATATATTAGAGCGATCTTTGTATTAAATCAATGGAGACAGTTTTGCTCTAAAAATAATTTAGTGGTATTTCAACATTCATATATCGTAAAATTCTGACTCACAGGTCACAGGCACCTTTAAAAATATAAAGCATTAATTTTAATAGCCAAATTTTGAGTTGATAAGAAGAGACATCCAGTTACAAGGCTATTTATTCCCCAACCATAGCCATCAACAATTATTACATTATGGTACGGTCGCTTAAGCTATAAAATACTTTACGACATTATTGCTTTTTGTGATCTTGATATCACAACCTAATTTTCAATTTACTGGTTAAAAATCCAGCCGATTTTATTTTCAAGTCAGTCAACGCGAATAACTAGACTTTAAAAAAATTTTATAAGTATTCGCAATCTTAAACATATACTTTCAAGTCTGGTTACTATCGGTGCCGAATTTACCAAACTAACCGGTAGAAGTGAAAAGATTAAAATATTCTGTCGTCTATATAAAACAATAAATCGCATGGTAGGAGCCCTACCATCTTATGTTAATGCCAGATACTCAATATTAATGAGTTAAAAGATTCTCCCTATCCGTATAGGGAAATCGTATGAAAGAAAGGAAGGAAGGCAATAATTATTCAACCTACGGCAAAAATTATCAACCATTAAATAATTAATTTTCAGTAAATATAGATACTAGTGTAACAATCATGAACGCTAATTAACAGCAGTGGAAACTTAATTTTTTCATAAAAATTGAATACAGTGTTTGAAAATGAATTTTTTTTAATTCAATATTACTTCAACATTAATACTGCATGTTTTAGCCTTCGGAAAGAATTTTACATTGAAAATACCTCATTGTACCTGTTATAAAATAAATAAATATTAAGACGTATAAATTTACATTCAATCCAGGCTTGTAGAAATGGGCTGCTATAATTATGTAAGATGCCAGTACTAATACTTACTGTTTTTGCTTTTTGTAATTTTAGCTTACACATTTGAATCATCTTCTACCGAATATTCCGTATATTCTTCCATGACCTCAAATGCGGCATCAGATTCATCGTCAGCTTACACAATTGAGTCATCTAGTACTGAATCCGCTGCATATTCTTCCATGACCTCAGATGTAGCATCAGATTCATCGTCATCTTACACAATTGAGTTATCTAGTACTGAATCCTCTGCATATTCTTCCACGACCTCAGATGTCGCATCAGCATCAGAGTTATCGTCAACTTACACTACGCCAAGCAGTAATTACGAATATTCATCAGCCAGTACATATACGAATACTAGCTCATCAGCTTACTATTCGTCTACAAGCTCAAATTCAACATCAAGCTCAACATACATTGCTCCAAGCGGTACTTATGAATATTCATCAAATAGTACTTATACAACTCCAAGTTCTTCGACTTACTATCCATCTACAAGCTCAAATTCTACATCGAGCTCAAGTTATATCGAACCAAGCAATACTTATAGTTATGATGACTTCTCAACTAGTGAATACGAGTATACAACTCCAAGTTCGTCAACTTACTATTCATCTACAAGCTCAAGTTCTACATCGAGCTCAAATTATACCGCTTCAAGCAGTACTCAAGCGTATGAATATTCATCCACCAGTACATATACAGCTACTAGCTCATCAACTTATTATAATTATTCATCTATAAGTTCAGCTTATAATCCTTCAAACAGTACTAGTACGTATACTACTCCAAGCTCGTCAACTTATTATTCATCTACAAGCTCGTATTCAACATCAAGTTCAACCTATACCGCTCCTAGTAGTACTTACGAATACTCATCGGCCAGCACATATACAACTCCAAGTTCGTCGACTTATTATTCATCTACAAGCTCATATTCGACATCGAGCACAACTTATACCGCTGCAAACAGTACTGACGAATATTCATCGACTATTACATCTCTAACTTCTAGCTTGTCGATTAATTATTCGTCAACGAGCACATATACAGCCCCAAGCTCATATTCAACATCGAGCTCAATATACACCCCACCAAACAGTACCAGTTCATATACCGCTCCAAGTTCGTCAACCCTTTATTCATCAACAAGCTCTTATTCAGCATCGAACTCAACTTATACCGCTCCAAGTTCGTCAACCTTTTATTCATCAACAAGCTCTTATTCAACATCGAACTCAACTTATACCGCTCCAAGTAGCTCTAGCACATATCCAACTTCAAGCTTATACTCAACATCGAGCTCAACATATACTGCTTCAACCAATTCTAGTACTTACTCATCTACTAGCACTTATACACCTCCAAGTTCGTCGCACTCATCTACGAGCTCATATTCCCCACCAAGCTCATCATCTATTTACTCTACAGGGACAAGTAGTTCTGTGAGTGTGAATCCGTCGTCGAGCACATCTGCAACATTGAGCTCAACCAGTTCTTCAACTTTCTATTCATCTTCCAGTACCTATATTGCACCATCTTCGTCAAGTCAAGACCAAATAAGTAGCACTTATGTTGCACCAAATTCTTCTCATCAGCAGTCGTCCACTATTCATTCAACTACTAGTTCACATCTACCATCTTCTAGTGGCTTTACTTCTCAAACTTTCTCTACTTCTACAAATCCAGCAACACCAACAACACAACAATCAGCTACTACTGTCACTGCAACACCAACTGGAACATCTCCCAATGTAGCTACTACACCACCACGTAAGTAATAAACAGGATTATACCTGATCTTTAACTCTAATAGGGTGTCATACATAAGTCAAGATAATTTCTTCCTTTTATTTTATTTATTAAGCAATCATAAATACATAATATTTTAATCAAGATGTAAACTTCAATCCTTACTGTATCACATTGATTAATATCAGTATCTCGTATTATCGAAATTTCGTACTATAGCAAGTAGATTATATCCGTATGGTTCATCTCAAGGAGATTCATCTTTCGGTAATCGCTTCCTCATCCGACGTCGTCTTTATCTTAAATCGCCTATTTACTTTGCTAACAAGTTCTATCAAACGCTTTATGTAAGTATTATACTGTAAATAATATAGTTGTTCATAAGAGTTTAGGGTACTAATGCGTCTGTAATGTTCTCGTATTTGAAATTGGATTAGATCTGTTCCAGTGGTTATGTCACATTCCATTTTTCGCATTGCTACTATTATCCATCATCATTCCGTTATTACAACATTCCATTGGTGGCACCATTCTTCAGCGGAAACGATATGAGACATTACTATAATACAAAATCCCGTGTTTATTACCATGAATATAGTAATTTTGATAGCTCTACATCGTCTCAATCGATCCTTAGTCGAGCTACAACCGATGTTGATCAATTCCAATCACAACTCAAGCTTCATAGTAATTGGACAAGCTCACAATTAAAGCCAAATTCGGCCTTTATCATCATACTTTAAGAATTTAAT